CACACACACACACACACACACACACACACGCACACGCACACACTTGGGACAATCAGCTGCACCAGTCCTGCACAGCTGTGTGGAAGTTACACAACAACCACTTTGCTCCATCAATTTCCTTCTTACTCAGAGAGAAGCTCCATAAACAGCATCTAAAACTGCACACTGCATTACCTCAAAGCCTCAGAYGTAAAACCCTGGAAACAGACCCATTAATGCACTTTCTGCTTTCGCTCCGTAAACACACCTCATCAATCATTTGCTCTCATCAGCAGTCTATACCTTTAGTAAGCAGCCAGTTGTGTTGAGTGTGTCATAAACTGTGTGTGTCAGTGTGTGAGATCAGTCCCACAGCCTCTGGTTCAGTGAGCGGGCCGTTACCTCGCAGGGCTGTCGGCTTTTGGAGGAGCTGTTTGGGTTTCGGAGATGAGCGAGAAGGAGCTGAGTACCTTGGGAGCTGAGCTGTGACTGGAAAACAAGGAAACGTCAGTGTGGGATCTGACTTCATTCTGCCTGAGTCACAGGAGCACTGAAGAATAAAGGCTTTAGAGCCTGAGGTGCAGCCGGAGGCCACTAGAGGGCTCTACAGACAACCATGTGAAAGCAGCTCCACAACCAGTCAGAGCACAGATGGAAGCAAAGAGGTTGGTTTAGGGAATGCATGCTTTTGCACAGAAGATAAGAGAAAATAGTTCAAGAGGCAGCCAGTGAAGTGTCCCACATGTCCAGTGCAGCCAAAGCTCAGGCAGAAAAACACAGAAGAACCAACTGTTTCCACCGTTAAACCTTTTGGAGGCACGAAATAAACAGAATCTCTAATCTAAAGGAAGAAGATGACAAACATTCCTCTCTGTCTCACAAACAGAGGAGCTGAGAAAAACAGTCACAACATATTTAAATAGCTGAAACCATCCCATCGATCTAGTGCTGCGCAGATTATTCAAAATAATCGATAACGTTGATTATAAACATAAACATAATATAACATAACATTATAAACATATTTTTAACACAGAATTTAATTATTGAATATTTGTATTATTTACCCACATAAATATTAATTTGCATTTGCTATGATATACATGAACTGCTGGGGGCAAAATCACTTCTATTGTCTGTGGCTGCTTTGTTTACTACTGAAGAAGCAATGGTCTGCTAACCACAGGAGAAGCCGCAGCGCCGACACATCCAAGACTTAATCTTTTAAAACTTGGCTACATTTGACAAATAAATAAATAAATAAATAACCAACCAACCACAGAAGGTAAAATGCAGACTCCGTCATTCCATGGCAGCAGAGCACCAGTAAACCCTGATCACCTGAACCGTTAACACGCTGCAGCTGTGATTATGTCCTCTCCAGGTGGGTAAGTTTTAGAAAGTTTGCTTGTTCATCAGGTTGATGCTTTTTTAGWCATGTTTTAAATAAATGATCCCTTTGTGCTGAGGCCATATGTCTATAATTTTTGTTAGTTTATCAACAGAACACWGTTCGTATTGGAAGCAAAGCTATCAGTTATGCTATCGTTAGCTAATGAGTTCAGTGCTTCATATTAAATCACTGAATTATGATGTTTTCACACCAGAAAAGTATTTTAGTCCATGTGTTTGGTCCGAATTAAAAGCTGAGTAGATTTTTTTCCTATGGTATGGATTGCATTCACATTGGGCATTTTTTGCAAGTGGGCTATAATTTATAAATAAAGCCATGTGTGTGTGACAGTCTTTGGTCCTACTGGACAGAACTGATGGTGCAGGACAGAGCACAGACCCAGAAATGAAGATGGTGCTGTTAATAAGAACAGCTCATATAACGGCAGTTTCACGTTAATATTATTATTTACCGTTATTTAATCCTATTGAGGTCTCAGATCTCTTTTTCAAGGGAGGCCTGGAGGCAACTTATTGTACATGTTTTTAGGGGTGGGAAAAACCGGAGTACCCGGAGAAAACCTACACAATCACGAAGGAGAACATGCAAATTCCACACACAAAGACCCCAGGTCCGAAACGGGGATCAAACCCAGGACCTTCTTGCTGTGAGGCGTTGGTGCTAACCACTGAGCCACCGTGCTGCCAAACTAAAACTTCTAACTGGGACAGCATCAGCAAATGTGCCGAAACCCAAAAGAGACGAGATGTTCCCTGACCCACAACAGCTCATTGTTTGTAGCGTTAGCAAAACTGGGCTAATTGTTACCATGTTCCTTAACAATGGTGGCCAAAAAGGAGCATGTTTCCTGTAGTTAGTTCGATTTGAGGGCGGTCAGAACCGCACCAGGGTTCATTTGGAAACGGACCGAGACCACCTTGAAAATGGGTCTGAGTTAATGTCACCTTTAACCAAAGTTATTGTTTAGTTTATTTTGAACTTGAAAAGCTACATCTGCACCCTGCAGGCRGGTTAACAGCTCCTCATGCTGGAGAGAGGCTGCTGTTTTGAGTTATTTGTACATTAGTTGTTTGTTTAAAAGATGACTTGCAGTTTCATTTGTATTTAATTAATTTTTTTATAATCAGGAGTATTAATGTTAGAAACACATACGATTAATAGGGGTGCACGATAGTTATCGGCCCGATATCAGGAAATTATGACCTCATACCTATCGGTCCAATATCATAACAAACAGAACTGATAATAAATGTATATGTTTGCCAGCACGGCGGTGAGTGCGCTCCTTTTTTATCCTTTTTGGTCAAGTCGCTTCCCATCCAGCACGACCTGAGCAACGTTCAAGTGGCGTCAGAAAAAATAAGTTTCTCACTAGAAAAATAATTAGAATACTCCGTGCTGAAAAACAACCAGTCATTTTAAGAACTATTAATATTATTTTACCAATTAACCCTGTGTGTTACACACAAACTTCATAATTATAAACATAAAAAGGCCAGAACAACTACTCCCAATTTGAGAACATGTAACGTCCGTTAMCTCCTGAATGCAGCACAAAGTCTGTTCTGCCAAAATGCTAACAGCAACAAGCTAGTGTTCAAGAACTCATCGGSACTTAAATCATTGCTGAGGCTTTTGACAAATMCAATAAAAYTKCCAGAGGACGCAGATCTCAAGCAATTTAACGATGGAAATGATGGAACTTGACAACCAGCCGTTCACCCTCGCTAAAGACCGAAGATTTTGTTACCTGTTAGCCACGGTTTACTGAATAGCTCTCTGTGTGCATTGAAAAATGTTTTAAATCCTATATTAATAATAATAAAAACAAATRTATTTTGAATCTAACTAGTGTTAGTGCATTATCTGTTTTGAACTTGTGGAATGACTTTTTCTCTTTTGTTTAAATCTGAGATCAGTGTTAAAGGTCTTTTTTATAATTAATGTGCCTTTTTTTAAAAGATGGTCATTTGAGAAATTGTTTTGTTTGATATACTTTAAGAAATAATTGTTTGCTAAGCATTTATTGCAAATAATATAATTTAGTGTCATTTTTTTTTTTGTCTTGTTTATTTATGTTATGATCTTACCCATTTTGGACTAGTCTTATCTCCTGGCATGTTATTGGTTATTATTGGTTATCGGCCGTTAGAAGGAGAAAGTTATCGGTTATCAGTATCGGTTCTTAAAATAAGTTATTGTGCATCACTAACGATTAAGCTAATTAAACTGAAGTTTTATAGGTGATTTCATAAGTGTGGTCAGGTGAGATGAGCTGTGCATTTGGATCTGCACTCAGGAAGGACAGATTGTGACAGAAACAGTGGCCAGTTCACTAATCAATTAACTGAAAAAAWAATCAACAGATTAATCGATTATCAAAATAATCGTTCAGGCCAGCCCTACTTTGATCCTTTTCTACCCACCTCTACTAGCAGAAGGACTACAGATTCTGGAATAAAGTAAAGACCATTATATAGGAGGGTTACGTTCAATCAATCAAGTCTTTACTTACAGAGAAGTGATTTTAAAACAAGGAAACGTTAGTGAGAGATTCTGGAGCTGCTGAGCAGCTTTCAGTGTTGTTGGTAACATGCTTTTATTCTGCAACACTTTCACCAAGACAACAAGAGAAGAGCTGTGAGTGAATTTAAGATGTTACAAGTGAGACAGGTTAAAAAGGATCCTTAAACACCAAAKTCACAAAGCAGAGGAAGGTAATCTCCACTCCCACAGTGACTATCATCAGATTTATCAGCACAGACAACAAAACAAACGTTGAAATAATTTCATCTGAAAGGTGATTCGATAAAGAATTGTGAACCTTCCTGAGTGCTTGGTGGTAAAATCAGACCCCCTGGTGATGATACTCACTGGCAGACTGACTCTGGTGTCGGGGGGAGCCTCCGTTTGCCACTTGCAGGTTGGACTCACAGCTGCGGCTGCTCTTGACGGGCTCCTGGGACTGAGCTGCGGCGGCAGCAGAGGAGCGTGTGAGGTTGGGAAGACTACGACGCAGCTTCTCTACAACAGCAGCACAGGAGGAGGTTAACTCAAGCCCGATAAACCTGTTGGTTCACGTTCTTTCTCCGCTCGTTCCGTTTACCTTCATTCTTCACCACATTGGTCTGCATGTCGTGGCCGTGGCCCTGCAGCGAGTGGCGAGGCTGCTGCAGGCGGCTGATGATCGGCTGCGGCGAGCTGCGGCCGTGGCTGTAGTCTATAGAGCGAGCAGGTGAGCGCGAGCGAGGCGAATTTCTGGGAGAGACGCGAGGGGAGTGGCGAGGGGAGGGGCTGAAGCGGCTGGAAGGCTGGGGGAAGGCCGGGTGCACCGCCTCCTCCTCGTCCTCCAGGCTGTGTGCATCCAACTCCTGATCACTGAAGGTGCTGCGTCGCAGCGAGTGGCAGGAGGAACCCGAGCTTCGCCTGGATGCTGTCGCAGCGTACTCCTGTCTCAAGCCTGTCGACACACACAAAGTCTGTGAGAAAAACTGCTGGAAAACAGAGATTACTGTTGAAGTTAAAACTAGGCACATACTCTCTTCCTGCATGCGTGCCATTATCTGGACATCAGTGACATCATTGAGCTTGTAGGTAGTTGAGGAGCCGACAGAGTCCTCGTCCATCTCTGATGTACTCAGCTCACTGTCCACTGATGACTGCGGGCTAATCGCTGGAGGATTCCTCTCTGCTGCTGCATTTCTCTGGTGCGCTAATGAGGAAACAATAAGTGAGCATTTCCATCTCATAATAAACAAGTATTACTAYTTCAGTATTATTATAAATTATATTAGTACAAGATATTGAATTAAACTCATACCAGCGTTACTAGGCATTAGCTGCTGTCGCACAATGGGCACTCTGCTGGGGGTTGAGGAGGGGGAGTTGAAGCCGCTGCTGTAAGGGCTGTTAGCTGTATTTGTGCTATAAGGACTTCCATAGCCCTGCTGCAGATAGGGACTTCCATACAGGCTCCTGCGCTTGTTGGCTGTAGAGTCAATCAGAAACAAAACAGGAGTTCATTCATGCACAAAGTAAATGAAGAAAATCCAAATCTTTAAATTAGGGTTGGGCGATATTGGCAAAAAAATAATAAAAATAATAATCACGATTAACTGTGGTATTTAACAGATAACAATTAATATTACGATTAATCCCTTGGAGTCCCTCCCTAGTCACATGACCACATCATCACTCTAGTGGGAAAGATTCGCTCTCAATAAAAATCAGTTCCAAATTGTGTCAAAAGTACAGACTTCTAGCCTGGCCCTTGCCTTCCTACGCATTTCTGCTTAATTCTAGTTTCTCTTCACTGCTCCGTCTGGGACTTCTCCCATTGACAAGGATTTCTTCTTTCTCATTCTGGCCAATCAGAGAACAGAACGTCAATTTTCTGCACAGTGTCTGCTTGTACTTTATTTTACCTGGACCAATCAGCAAACAGAAGGCAGTGTTTTGAACAACGTTGATTTTCTTGCGCAATGTCTGCTAGTTATTTTAGCATACAGCAGTGGAGGAAGTGAATGAAGCCAGTCCGTGTTGATAAGGCTTTCAAATTAAATTAAATCTTTCTGACAAAGCAGCAGCTCTCATTTACAGTCGTCTCGTTTGGCTCGGTATATTTCTCCTTTCAGTAGGGTTGTTTACAGCACACGTGATTTCCGGTTAGCTTCTTAGCTTAGCCTCCTTCACAGTGGAGCTGGCACTTGCAGCCAACCAATCCAATCATTTTAAACTTCAACAGAGGCCACGSCTCCAGCAAGAATCGCTTCTCCATAGCCGAGAGACCAGACCCTCGTACGAAGCAAAGTGAAGGACAAGGGTCTGGTTTTTACCAGGCTAAATGACTTCAAGTAAAACCAGTTATGACAGAACCTTTTTTTGTATATGTTTGTAAATTAATAGTCATTCTGCCTGGCAGCATTAATAGTATTAATCGTCAAGTGCCAAAAAAAAAGGATTAAAGTTTTTCTAATACAAGATACGATTTTGCCCAACTCTACTTTAAATAAAAAAATTTTTTTGTTTTAAAAGATGTCACAGTTGTAGCTGTACAAATAATTTGAACAAAGTTATTCTAATTTTGTATTAAAATTAATTTCCAGTAGAATACTTAAGGCCCTGTCACACTATGATGTTTTAGACTTTTTCTAACGTGCAAATTTTGTCCAACACGCTGCCGTAAGTTCCATTAGTTAGGTGTTAGTTAGGTGTATGTTATCAGCATGATGGCCAGATCCTATWTTCGTATATGCACAAAATTTTCAGCTTATGCTGATGTGCTACTGACAGGTGAGGCACAAGTTGCAGGTAATATATTGCTCACRTCACATTTTAGTAAGTTACACACATGGACAAAATTGTTGTTACCCMTCGTTTAATGAAAGAAAAACCCACAATRGTCACAGAAATAACTAGAATCTGACAAAAGTAATAATAAATAAAAATTCTATGAAAATGAACAAATGAAAGTCAGACRTTTCTTTTCAGCCATGRTTCAACAGAATCTTTTTAAAAAYAAAACTCATGAAACAGGCCTGGACAGAAAGGATGGTACCCCTGAAAATAATGTGACCCAAGGGCCATGTTGTGTCCACTAATGAGCATCACAGGTGTCTACAGTCCTGTAATCAGTCAGTGGGCCTGTATATAGGACTACAGATACTCACTGTGCTGTTTGGTGACATGGTGTGAACCACACTCAACAAGGACCAGAGGAAGACAAGGAAAGAGTTGTCTCAGGAGGTTAGAAAGAAAATTAGACAAGCATGTTAAAGGTAAAGGTTATAAGACCATCTCCAAGCAGCTTGATGTTCCTATGACTACAGGTGCACAAATTATTCAGAAATTTAAGATTCATGGGACTGTAGCAAACCTCCCTGGACGTGGCCGCAGGAGGAAAATTGATGACAAATCAAAGAGACGGATATTATGAATGATAACAAAAGAGCCCAGAAAAACTTCTAAAGAGATTAAAGGTGAACTTCAAGATCAAGGAACATCAGTGTCAGATCACAACATCCATCATGGTTTGAGCCAAAGTGGACTTAAAGGGAGATGACCAAGGAAGAYACCAAATCATAAAAAAGCCAGACTGAAATTTTCCAAACTACATGTTGACAAGCCACAAAGSTTCTGGGACAAAGTCCTCTGGACAGATGAGACAAACATAAAACTTTTTGTCAAGACACATCAGCTCTATGTTCACAGAGAGGAAAATGAAGCATACTGTATGAAGAAAAGAGCACTGTCCCTACTGTGAAACATGGAGGAGGTCTTTTATATTCTGGGCTGCTTTGCTGCATCTGGCACAGGTGGTCTTGAATCTGTGCAGGGTACAAGAAAATCTCAAGACTATCAAGGGCTTCTAGAGAGAAATATGGTGCCCAATGTCAGACAGCTTGGTCTCAGTCGCAGGCCTCGGGTCTTCAATAGGACAATGACCCAAAACAGCTAAAAACACTCCAAAATAGCTAAAGTTTGAAACRTACTCCCTCCGAACTGCCGATGTCGGCACAGGTTGTCAAAGTTTCACAACAAAAATTATGTCACCGGTGTTCACAGCATTGACTCGGCTGCCCCTTATGGCACAACCCGCTGGCCGAAMCTTTCACGCCCCCCCCTGCGAGGAAGATAATGTATGATTGGTCTGAAGTTCGTGGGCATGTTTGTTTGTGCTGAAAGTGCTCAGACGCTGCATCAACCACTCGGTAAAAAAAAGAAAATGAAAAAAACCGACTCTCTTCCAGAGGCCAGCCGACTGTTACCAGGAAGCTGAGTTTTATAAAGATAATCAACCTGTAAAAATCTCATGGAGATAAAACAGACGATGAGCACAGGGGAATCTGACTGATAAAAGCTGTGGAGCTCCGGGACAGATTGTGGATAAATTAACGTCGAGTAAGTGACGAGTCTGACYGTTTTTTCTGCATTGTCGACTGTAGTGGGAAGAAACTCCATGCAGTGACGTGTCCTGCAGT